TTTAAAGACAAGAATCTGAAAATGTAATTAGGTCATTTTGATCAAATTTGACTTAATCCTCATTTCGATATGATGGATCACAAATAAATGATTTACATTAAGTTGTAATTTTGGTCCGAACTAGAGGAACAAGTTTACACAACGAGCACACGTTCAAATCATTCACATTAACTGCAACGTCTGAACAAAACCCTCGACCCAGAACTTTTATAATCCTTCACACACTCGACACTACGTGAACAGGGCTACGATTCTGTATGCATGAATGGTGCCGGGGTATAAAATTCATGGTGAAGGCTGTTTCTTGCTTTGAAACTTTACAGCAGGTTCAGTGCATAAAAAAGTGTGCATAATGTGTAATTGTACTGGACGAATTAATGCGTGTGTGGGAGAGGGAATCGTTAGCGAGCTTGAGTTGCTTTTTGCTTTTATAGATCTCTCTCAGATTTATTATTACAGGAACGAGGAGTAAGGCCAGAAGTGAATGACGAAGAATCAAGGAGACAAATAAAAAAAGAAGAGGGTCAAGAATTATTATATGTCAAGGCCTTTTTCAGAACTAATTCCCTGTATGTCTTATTTTGTCAACATAACTAAAAGTCTTCACTCATATAACGTCTGCTGGGTAGATGAATTGACTGTACTCATCACACTAGTTCAAGCCTCACCTCTACATCACATCCTTTAGTGACCCCTGTATAATCCGAGCTGCTGAGAAGATCGTACGGCGTTCTGGAGACTTCGATATCTCTGAGACAACCTGCGTACCTCTTCAGTGACACCTCCGACCTACAAAAGACAATTATTTTTATTTTTCCCATAAAAACAAAAACAGAAAATCTAGTTAAGAGCTCGTCTCTTTGCCGCTAAGCCTTAAAGAATGTTGCAGGATTACTGCAGCAGTGAAACTATTGCATCACAATCATGTTTCCAGCAGCAAAGTGAAGCCTGGAAATCAAAGAGAGGAATAATCTGAATACGCTGTTTGTCCATATTAATCAAGTGCTGTTTTAATTTGTTTAGGATAACTAGTTTTATTTATTTTTTTCCACTTCAAGTGTTATAGTTGTTACACAATTACTCAAAACAAAACGACAAAAACATCTTTAATAAAACCTGCAAAAACATGTCCTTTCTGAGCCTCAAAAGCAACACTAATAAGACTGAAAATGTTTTTTTTTAAGAAATAAGGTCAGTGTGGAGCAGAGTGAGAGATACGAGACTTAAAAGTTGAACAAACATCAGATTCAGATTAATGAAGGACAGAAAAGTTTAGCTGCCATGTGAAGGAGCAACAACCTTAATGAGCGATACAAGAAAAAACTGCACAGATCAGCTTCATGCAGGGATGATGTTTTACTTAAATAAACAGCTTCATACAATAAAATGAATGATTCATGTTTTTATTTACCTGGCTGCCATGCTGTTAAAACAAAACATAATAAAGCATTAACACACATCAAACACTGTTTCAACTGAGTATTCAATTGAGGAAGGCAACTACGGCGCCCAAACTGTGACATTGGATGAAAAAAAATAACTTGTGGCCATGTGATAATAACATATGGCCACAAGATAAATAACATGTGGCTGTGAATTAACATGACCATGAGTTAAATAACACGTGACCACAAGATAATAACACGTGACCACAAGATAATAACACGTGACCACAAGATAATAACACTTGGCCGCATGATAATAACACTTGGCCGCATGATAATAACACGTGACCACAAGGTAATAACACGTGACAACAAGATAATAACACGTGACCACAAGATAATAACACGTGACCACAAGATAATAACACGTGACCACAAGATAATAACACGTGACCACAAGATAACACTTGGCCGCATGATAATAACACGTGACCACAAGATAATAACACGTGACCACAAGGTAATAACACGTGACCACAAGATAATAACACGTGACCACAAGATAATAACACGTGACCACAAGATAATAACACGTGACCACAAGATAATAACACGTGACC